AGTTTCTATGTAATTACTTATATAAATTATCTAATAAAGATATGAGCAAGGCCTCACCTTAACACTAAAAAAAAAAAAAAAAAAAAAATGAAAAATAGTTCCAGTTATATTAGGATTGTGCATATCTTCATATAATTCGTTATAGCTTTTTAATAAGGGTAGCTCTTTGAGGAACAAACATAATATTCAAATTAAAGTTGTGCAAAACTTTCAATTTGTTGTCTCCCATAAGTGATGTGTGCAACCAAGCTTTAGTGTCCTGATTTTCCCAAAATTGAAACTGCACCTGAATACGCTTCATTTTATTAATAATTTTTTGTCAGATTTCTTCAGTAAATCTGCATGTAGTACGTAATTCACTTATTGCAAAAGTCCATAATCGGTCCCAAATACATAATATTAAATGAAGTTCGTCAACGACATAATTACAAATAGGTATCATTGGAAACAATGGTGCATGTTGATGGCCAGGTCTTTGTAAATAGTTTTGACAAATATCATCAATGTCTTTACTAATGGTTCATTTGTCTTGATGAATACTATTAACTTCAAGTACACTATTTTGTGATTTGTGAATTGGACACCACAAACAAAATTCTATACTATTCGCTGCTTTGTGCCCTAAACAAATTGATAAAAACTTCCAGTCAGCCGTAAAATATAATTCTATATTCTATTTTTTCCCATTATTATCTAAAAATTCATTCTTAACATCGTTTAGATCTTTAATTAAAGATGATATTGCAACTTTTAATGTTTCATACTTTTCTGTTCCCGAATGTAAAATTAAAGTAAAATGTGAACTAGGTTTATAAGGATTAAATTTGCTATTAAGTATAACAAATGTGACCATAACCTGTTTAACTTTACGTCCAACGTTACGACCATCTCTGGAAATATGAATTTTAAGAGTTGATTGTACTAAATCTAAATTACCCTTGGCAACCAATGCAGGTATTAAAAATCATAATATATCTTTAATTGATTGTGATACAGTTTTTCCTAATATAGATTCTATCTCTTCTACAATTTCATTACTATAAAAATGAACTTCCATATTATCTTCAAATTCTTCAACTTGAAGAGCTGATAGCTTCAAATCGACAGTATGTATTGGTATAATTTTACTCATTTTATCATTTAGTTCTTTTTTTCTTATAAAAATTGCACTTTCTCTTGGTAAATTGTGCTCAATAGCAGAAAGAGTTCGGTATGCAGCTCTGGTAATATAATGTTTATCCATTCCTTTAATTATAGCAATTTGTTGAGTTTTCTCTAGTTCTTTGGAAAATTGATTATATGTAATTTAATATCATCTTGTGAATAGTAGTTATGTTTAATTTGATTTTCAAAATCTGCAAACAAATTAATGCCCATATTTTTATTTTGTATAACTTGTATTCTATTAGATAAGTCTGCAAATGATTTATGTTTTTTTTCTCTGTGTTTTTTACAAATATGTCTAAGTTGTTTTAATTGCAAGCCAAAAAGATAAACACCATTCATTGTACTTTTAGGTATCTAAAAAATTGAATCTTTTATTTAAATACTATAATTAAATTTGAAAAATTTGAAAACTATATACGTATATATACTTTATTTAAATATTTATTTTTTTTCATTATAAACTTTTAAATAATTATTTGCGGCAGCCGTAGGTGATAAATTTGAACAAACAAAATCTTCTTCAAGTCCAAAAATTATTTTATAATGTAGACGTTTAGCAATATAATTTATATAACAAGTAACTGTTTGTTCATTTTTCCATAAGTTGTTTCTACAATATATTTGTCAGGAATAGGGTATTGATTTGGTTTTAGTGTATAAACAAGTTCGGATTCTGATAGATATATGCCTGGTTCAACAATATAGTATTTATAACTTCTTTTTGAAGTTTTATACTTTATTGTATAATCAGCAGGGAAATTAGAGAACTCTTCAGCTTTTTCTTGTATAGATTACATTAGCGTTAGTTTTTAATTATGTAACAAGTAATTTTTATTTTAGTTTATATATTAAGAATATTAACCAATCATAATAAATGTCAACAAAATGACGGTCATAAGGTCAACATTTTGTACTACCTATAAATTAGGGTATTTCACAAATCCGCCCATATGTCCTCATTATATCAAACAATTATTATTATTTCAAATGACTTATTATATTTTTTTTTCTTGCGTCAAAACCTTAAAGTATCTTATTTCAAAATTGCGTTTTGAGATTACGTATCAATGAAATTAAAATTGAAAGTTGATTGGTTAACGTGGCCAAAACCAAACTATATTTAATTATGTTAACGCGTCTAAAAAAAAATAATTAGAGAATTTAAACTTAATACTTATAATATTTCTAATGAGCTCTTGACCAATAGAAATATGAATAGTACTTACCAACCCATTTTTATACCTAAGATCATACAAAGTGTAGTAAAGATCTTATAATGATCCATAATTTTTGATATCAACGTATGAGAGACCATAGAAATGGTGAATTTAATTTTCCAAATATTGCTAACTAATTTGAGAATATTTAGATTATTTGAAGTTTTCCATTCAACTTCAATAATACCATAAAACTTTTTAATAACACAATTGTATTTTGGGTTAGAGTAGTTAATTCATTTGGATAAATCTCTTTCGCATAGTCATCACTTGACTGTTTAAAATTCTTGACATTTGTTAACACGTTTTCAAACCGTTTAAATAAGACATGATATCCTTTTCTTCATCACTTCCTATATTTCTTCAATGGCATGTTCCGCAACTTTTATCGATATGTCATAATTCGACAAATTTTTTATTACACTTTACATTCTCTTAAATCTGATAAGTTTATTTCTATAATGTTTATCGTACCGCCAATAGAGCAATTATGCGAAAATAAGAGTTAAGGCTTTCTGCAGTAATTTCGATTACAGTATCCATAGTTATGATAAATAAATGCCAAGGGAGAAAATATGGTAATTGAATATAATAATTGATATGTATAATACTGTTTTAATAAGTTTATAAATAAGTTGCCAAAAAAAAATTTTAACGTTCACAGCATGCAGACATCGCATCCACTTATTTGCGCCGGTAATACAAACCTCTAAAAAGGAAATGGCCAATCAGAGAACACAAATTTCGGATATTCCGGATCAGCCCGACATAGAATCCGAACACGTGCGAAAGAAGAAAAAAAGCAAATAAAGCGAAAATACTCAAAAACTAGTGTTTAAATTGACCTTTGTGGACTAATAAAAAATAATGGGAATGAAATTTTAGCTATAGGGAACACCAACTTATCGCCAAAGCTCACAACCCTAACGTCCTAATCCTAAACTTCTATTTTTACGCACTTAGTTTATTACAAAATTGATTTCCTTTTTTGGTTTGTGTTACCGGCGCACATTCATATGCATTATTCCATTTTTCTACTCTAAAAATGGGCTGATATTGCGTAACAGGTAACGCATATGAAGTATAAGTACTGTACGTCCAACTTATATTTTGCTGAGCTGACAATAATTCGCTTAAAATAAATCGTTTGTCAGACCTGAATAGAAATTTGATGTAATGGGAGAGACTACTTTGTTCAATGGTCTTGTTCTACCAACTGCGTGGAATATTGATGATAAATCACAATTTATTAACATAGATTCGAGTGGGCTAAAATTGAATTATACGGGTAAGATGTGCAATAAATTTTAATAAGAGAAATTTCACAGAAATATATTGTTAGTTAAATAAATTTTTTTTAAAAGATCCCAATGATCATAAAGCTGTTGTAATTCGAACCAATAATCCAATTCCATCACAATTCGGATTATTTTACTTTGAAATTGAAATTATAAATGAGGGAAAAAATGGGTAATATTAAATAATTATTTCATGTATTGAATCATTATTATTATAAATTTTCATAATCATTTTAATTCTATTTATTAATTCTATTTATTAATAGAATGATTGGAGTAGGATATTGTACAAAACAAAGTAATATAAGCGATTTCATGCCTGGTAATAACAGACTATTTTTTTATTTATTGTTTATTATTACATATTAATGCTTTGTCATAATATCTCTTAGGACAAGAATATGTCGAAGATAAAGAAAATAAAGAAAATAAATCATGGGGGTGTGCTTACCATGGTGACGATGGACATTTTTTTTGTTCCAGAAGTGGCAAGCCATATGGACCAACATATGCTGCTGGTGACACAATTGGATGTTATTTAAATTTTAGAAATGACGATAAGATGATATTTTATACTAAAAATGGTATA